AACGACGGCGGCAACTTTGGGGTAACCATTGCCGGCAACCTGCCAGCAGGATGGCATCAGGAGACTAGAGATTAGCAGAGGCGGGAGGAGTGCATAAGGTCGATTCTGCGCGAATCTTCTACATCAAAAACAAATTCACATGCAAGACAGAGCTGTGCAGCTTCGACGGGCGAAAATGTACAGCCTGAAAAAAGGACGAGGCAGAGGAAGAAAAGAACAGAGTTAAAACTTACTTGTTGCACCCCAGGCGCGTAGGTACTGATAGTGCGTTGAGCGGGGACTTGCACCGGCAGCACCCCTGAAGTACTGTTGGTCCGCCGTGCAACATGGCCCAGCGAGTTGGTGCCACTGCCAACTGCCAAGGCGCTGCCCGAAGGTGAGTTGCTGCGTGCTGAAGGGTTGGCCAGATCCATCTGATGCACAATTTGATTTGCTGGCAGTTGGCAGGCCGCCGACGTAATTATGGACTGATGACCGTAGACACCGGACCGATAGATGCCCGCAGTTCGGCCGAGGGTTCCACCTACAACGGGGACGTGGCATAATACTTGGACTGGCAGTAAAACTTTCCGTTTGTAAATGTTCGCTGTCCAAATGATGAGCCCCAAGGGCCTCTTGAGATGTGCTCAGTGATGACAGAGAGGATGACTACTTTCTAGGCAGATGAAACCACGCGACTGACGCATGGAAGTTAACGGGATATTATGCATCCCTATACGTCAAACTGTCGGCCTGGGGGCTCTTAAAGTCGGCAGATTGGAATGTTTTAACTTCCCTCCCGATCGGACCATCGAGCAATTTGTACAAATGACAGGCGCTGCTGTCTACAGACTGATCATCAGACGCCTATATGTGCGATGACCAAAGGTAAACGACAACCTGTAGTGTCTCGGTTATAAATAATACGATAACAGACCGCTTCTTGGGAAACAACCCGCGCGTGTCTTGAAAGACTACGTGACAAAATCCGTTATCGAAATTTCACATAAGATGGGTGCGACTCAAAAGCGTTTGTTACTACTGTGGAAGAAGTAAGTGATTTCTTCGTTCTTATAATGAAGTAGCTGCGCAAAATGATGATATAATTTCAGGCAGCGTAAGAGCATTAGAAATTTTCTTAATGGGATTGCAGTGGTGTCTCTTGTAGGCAGAGATCAAAAGCGGGTTTTATACATAGTCTTGAGGTCTAAGTTGGCCATAAAAGCACCAAGATCACATTCTGACTGAAGGCGCATCCCAAAATTGAGGAAGAATATTTTATTACCGATTTTTTTGGCGGATCCCCATTCTAGGTGGTAGTCTGTGTACAGCTGTTTTTGCTAAGACGCCTTCTTCGACGTAAATTAAGTCTTTGACCATCTACACTTGTCCCGTGATGGTTTATTACGGATTTGCGCCGATTTTTTTTGACTTGGAGTCGGTTGGAAGTATTCCACTCAACCTTTACGGAAACATTAGCCGCAAAGGGGTAAAAATTGTGGAACCGGACATCCACAAAATCGAATGTGTGTCGACGAAACTTCGTAAGACATGCACCACATCTGTAATCGAACTCTCTTTATGGGTTGGATTCGCTTAAGGAGTCAGCAACCCACTGGGTAGGCCGTCGGTATCTTAAAAAGGCAAGAATGCAATTTTCAGAGGCAATGAACATCATTGAAGTCTCACTCTGAAAACGTCCCGGGGCACCTCTAGCAATTGATGAGGCTGCGTACTCCGCGCTGGCCCGTGGTCCCAGGGCCTTTGGGTCAATGGTACCGACTTGGCGATCGTGGACACCTCCCGGACAGCCCATAGGATGCGCTGTGGTGCTGCTGC